CCCTGGGTCGTGCGGCATCTGCTTGAACCCGATTTCAAGCAGGATGTTGTGCAGGTACTGCTGCCACAGCCTCGGTGCCTGCTTAATGCCGTAGAGTGACTTCCGCGGCTGACACACGCGCGCGTCTCCTTCGCCGTAGGTGTGTGGCTGCTCCACGTAGATCACGGCATCTACTAACGCGTACAGGAACGCGTTCTTTACGTCGATTTGACGGAGTGGCAGGTGCCTTGCAGCTGCGATGGCGAGCAGGATGCGGACGGAGGTGTGACGGCTAACCGGGGCGAACGTTTGATCGAAGTCGATCCCGTGCCTCTGGTCATAGCCGCGAACCACCCATCGCGCCTTAAAGCGCTCGATCGTCCCATCCGCTGCGGTCTTCACGCGGAAGACCCACTTCCCCGAGAGAATTCTTGCGCCCTTGATTGCTGGTGCGCGTAGGGAAGGGAGATGTGGTGCTCGATCCCCTTTTGCGCCAGGAATGTCTGCATCTGGTTGCTCCTGAATTCTGCCGCGCCGTCGGACTGCCAAATCTTGAGCTTCTTCCCAGATTGCCGCTCCGCGTGCGGCAGCCAGAGGCGAAATACCTCGTAGGCTCTGTCGCGCGACTCCACATTCACGACCCACACGTAGCGCGTTCCAGCGTCAATGAAGGTGAGCGTGTATAGCTCATCCTCGACTCCGCAATGCCCCACGTTCAGGAAATCGCTGTACACCTTGTGCAGCTTGGGGTAGCGGTTGGTTCCAGGTTCGAGTAGCGGGAACGGTTGGTGGCTCAACGCAGCCTCGGGACAGACGGTGCAGTTGCGCGGATGTGTCGCGCCACTCACTTCGGAGCCATCAGGGCGCAGGAGTGCGCCAGGAGCGAAGACGCCAGCGTCGATGCAGTTTTTCAGCGTCGCGCGGGAAGGGTGTCCGAGGCGCTGGTGCCAGAGTGCATCGTCAGCGCGAAAGCCGGAGGTGCGCATATAGCGCGCGCGCGCTTCCTCAGGGTCTTCGTCAGGTGCGGGAGCAGGTTCCGCTGCTACTTCCTCTGCTTCTTCTTCTTCTGCCGCGGTAGTCAGCATCAGCGCCAAGAACTCTCTGTCGCGAATTTCAGAGAGCGGGATGTTAGTCCCAGGGATGGTTCCAGGGACGAGAGTAGGCTCGCGTGGCTCAGGGGCAGGTCCGTAGACGGTGCGACGCGGGGTTGACGGCTCGTTGCCCCAGATGATGGTGTCTCACGGGTCGCGACGCAGGGGAATGTCTGCAGGAGGTGGTGCGAGCGGGATGTGGCGCGGGGGACGACCGAGAGGAACGACTGCAGGTGCTACTTCGGTTTCCTCAGCTTCGTCCTCTTCCCCCCTTCGTTCTTCGCGGGAAGTGCCCCAGCCGCTGTCTGCGGCGGTAGGTACGGCGCCCCATCCGCCGCTCGCGTTGGCCCATGTTCCGCCGGTGTCGCCCCATCCGCCAGTATCACTGGTTCCCCATCCTCCAGCGCTCCCCCACCCCCCTTCATTGGAGGCACTTTCTTCCTCCTCGGCTCCCCAGGCGGTGCAAGCGAAGGTCCCGCGTGCTTCCGCGAGGCTTTGCTGGCGAAGCTCCTCGGCTTCGCGGCGCGCCAGTTCTTCCTCTTGCTCCACGGTGAGTTTTGCCGAGGGGTCGAGCCGATGAGGGTACACCTTTCGGAATTCCTCGAGAGTGTAGGGGCGCGGAACTCCTCGTGAGTCCAAGCTTCCGCGGCGTTGTCCGCGCAGGATGTTGTCGAGCCGCTGGGAGGGAGGTCCAGCGTGGGGGCTTTGGTCGGTGCCGAACACGCGGCGAGTAGTCTCCTCGACCTCGAGCTGCGACATCCCTTCTTCTGGTGGCGCGTGGCGCTCTGCTTCAGCGATGGCGGCGAGTCCGCGGCCGGCGATCGCGCTCGTTGATGTCGTCGGCGTGTGGCAGTCCCTGCAGATCCCATCTGGATCGGGGTTGTGCAGCGCCGTTTCGCGTGGGTGGGGATGATGCGGCACCCACGGTCTTCCGTCAGGGTGCTTCCAATCCCTGCGGTGGATGTGCTCGAAGCGGAGTGGCACGAGGTCAATTAGCTCGTGCGAGTCGCCGCTGCAGTCGGGGATGTCGAAATCCAGGACGTACACTCCATTTTCGGAGTGTGCTCGTCCGATCTCGCGTTTCGCGGTCCGTGCTGAGGTCGACGCCGCAGTCCATGAGCTGTGCGGCGGACAGAAGGTTGAAGCGCAGGTTCTGGACGATCAGCACATCGTTGAGCGTGATGTGCGTGCGGCTCCCGCGTGCTTTGAGCACGACGATGCCTTGCGCGCTTGCGCGCAGGCGCGTGTTGTTCGCCACGGTGACGTAGGTGACGGTAGGGGTGGCGACGGCGTTGGATATGTAACGCTCGGAGCCCACCATATGCTGGCCGCAGCAGCTGTCCAGGTACCAGGTGTTGTAGCGCTTGTTGTCGTCACGTGCGAGCAGCGCCAATCGCGGCGTGACGATGTGCGGAGTGTCAAACTTCAAGAATTGCTCGCGCGTGAGCCAATCAAGTGGCGCCACCCGCATGTCAGGTACGTGCGGGGGACTTTCAAGCAGCGGGACTGGAAGGTTCCAGTCTTGGTCGTCGTCGTCGGTGAAATCGTGGCGCGGGCTGAATGGGTTGTTGTTGTTGAACGCGCCGATAGGATGCGGGGCAGGCTCAGGTGAAGGTGAGCATACGCGACGACGACGCGACTCGCCTGTCATGGCCATGTTGCTCATGACGTTGCGAACTGGGGCAGTCGATGACGGCTGCTGCTGCTGATGCTGAACCGCTGGGTTCAGGTTGCGCGCGGGAGGGGGCTGATACCCCTGGGCTGGACGCACGTCGCCTCGTGCGTCTTGACGGCCGGACCAGGTGCTCGGATTGGTCTGGCGAGGGCGGGATCGGTTCTTGCATCGATCCGCCAGATGCCCGAAGTTCCTGCAGATTTTGCAGTAGAGGCGCCGTGGCTTTCGCTCTTCGGTGTTGTCGGCGTAGAAGGCGAGCCTTTCGCGTTCTCGTCGCGGCGCTGGTCGCTGCTGATCCATATCCCTTTGTTCGACGAGAAGGGCGGCGCAAAGGGCGGCCTCCGAGATGACCCCCTGCTGTCGGAGTGACGCCTTGCAGGGCCGCCACTCTGGGCCAAGCCCTTGAAGCACGATGTTGACGAAGATCTCCTCTGAAATCGTGCTTCCCAGCTTCACGATTTGGTCGCGAAGGCTCCGACAGCGATTAAGGTAGTTGTTGACCTTCTCCCCTGCGATCATCTTGGTTTCCAGGAGTTCCTGGAGTAGTCGGCTCGAAGAGACAGAGTCCTTGGGCTGATAGACTCCTGTCAGGTGCCGCCAGGCGTTGAGGGCCGGAGCAGCCGAAGTTTTGTAGGAACGAATGTTGAGCTGCTCCGCCGGCGACATGTTCCGCAGGAGCACCCCGTACGCCATCAACGATTCGTCGTAGTACCTTGCCTTGGCGTCGTCGGTGTCCTCAGCGGGCTCCGCGTAGCTCCCGTCAAAGTAATGGAAGATTCGGGCGTTCTGCAGCAGGAGCTCCAACTCGAAGCTCCAGGTATAAAAGTCTCTGCCGTCAAAACAGGTACTTGTCTTTATTTTTTATATGCTGAGAAACCTTGATTGAGCGGAGAGAATTGCCTCTTCACTGGGACGGGGAGTCTTGGGGGTTGAGCCATTGGTGTCGAGGGAGAATGTTTGCGGGGTGGCGTTCTGGCCAGTCGGGGCCGGTTGAGAGGGTTGCGAGGATGTTCCCGCGTCGCCGTTCCGCAATGTTTGGAGTCCTTGCTCCAAGCTGGTGAGTCGCTGAAGGAGTTGTGCGAGAACTTCGTCGTGTTCTCGCATGTCGCAGCCGGGTTGGTGCGAGTTTCAGCCGTCAGATTAGTCTGACCACCAGATCCTCCGGCCATCTTCACTCGTGAGCGTGTGCCGGACGCCACTTTCCAAATATTATAATTTTTAAACACACATGTAGTGTTTTTTAAAATTGTGTATTGTGAAAGCGAAGCTGCTTGTACTGCACAATTGGCATCGTCGAAGCGCGCTAAACGCCCTTCTCCAACTACAAAAACCGTGGGTTGGAGCTCATTTCCCTCCACCCACGTTTCTCAATTTTCAAACGGCTCACTCAACATTCCCACCACCCACCCCAGAGTAAACCGCCTTGCTAATGCCACTTGGATAGGGTATATCCTAGCTAGCGTTATTAGTCCGCACTAGCTTGTGTCGAATGATGATACAAATGTTGTAATACGCCATTTGTAATGAGAACGATGCCAATTGATAAGAAAGAAAGCAAGCTTTCTCAATGTCAC